GCTGGATTCGAATTGCCAACGTCAGAGCGAATTACATGAGGTGGTTCCCTTGACAAGGATTCCGCGATCAGAACGGATTAGCCTTGCTAACTCTGTTTCAGTACGAGTACGCCCACCGCAGTAAAACCATTCGTCGCATCGGCAACATCCGCGCCGCCGATGGCCCCCAACGGCAAAGTCAGCATGATCGCAAACAGTCCGGGGAACGACTACCAACATCCGCATCCGAATCAACCCCAATCAGTCGCGTCACGTTCGCCGCGTGGGGCACACAGCCGCCCGCCCGCCGTGAGAAGGCGACCGGATGGCGCGCCGGCGGCGCCACCGCCGCGCGGATCCCATTACTGGGTCACTCGGAGCCGGGCTTCGCCGGAAGCCCCCAACGCGGAACTCGGGCAAAACGCGGCGGCATTCAGCACAAGCGGGCTGCCAGACGCTCACGTGCTCTCGCTCTGAGACGCGTGCCTCTGTTTGGCTGTGTGAAGCCGTCGGGATCGAGGGCAGCCGGCGTCTGTTCAGCGTCCACTTCGTGGCCTGCACCGACCAAACCGCCAGCTCCGAGGACTCGGGGAGCAATTTACTGGCGCATCCACAGGAACCCGCACAACAGGGTATTACGACGGCGGTTGCCAAGCGGCACACACACACACACACACACACACACACACCCAACACACACACACACACACACACACACACACCACACACACACACACACACACACACACGCACGCACGCACGCACGCACGCACGCACGCACGCACGCACGCACGCACGCACGCACGCACGCACGCACGCACGCACGCACGCACGCACGCACGCACGCACGCACGCACGCACGCACGCACGCACGCACGCACGCACGCACTCACACACACACACACACACACACCACACACACACCACACACACACACACACACCACACACACACACACACACACACACAGCGCTATGGAATCAATGTGTAAATGGAGCAATAACCAACATTTCATGACGCCGAAATGATGCAATTAATAAAACGTATTCATTACCCTCCATAAACAACACTTTAAACAGAAATAAGCTAGCTCGGAGAAGAAAATATGTGTAAATGCAGAAACGTTCAGTTAACAGCGAAACATAAAACCTAAGCCGAGTCGGGAAGCGGTGCACCAATCCTCGTCCCTGCCGTCAAGAGCCCGTGTACCGATCCTCGTCCCTGCTGCCAAGAGCCCGTGTACCGATCCTCGCCCCTGACGTCAAGAGCCCGTGTACCGATCCTCGTTCCTGCCGTCAAGAGCCCATTTACCGATCCTCGTCCTTGCCGTCAAGAGCCCATGTACCGATCCTCGTCCCCGCCGTCAGGAGCCCGTGTACCGATCCCCGTCCCTGCCGTCAAGAGCCCGTGCACCGATCCTCGTCCCTGCCGTCAAGAGCCCGTGTACCAATCCTCGTCCCTGCCGTCAAGAGCCCGTGTAGCGATCCTCGTCCCAGCGACGCTCGTGCGAGCCTCACCTCCTTGCCGTTCGAGGAGAGATCGGGCTCGTCTCGACCGATCTCCTTGCGCCATACGCGCACCATGGTCTCGAAGGCCGAGTCACGGCTGAGCAGGCTACCGAACACGTGGCGGCCTTCGCTGCTCACCACGGCCACCGCGTTGGGGATGATGCGCGCCGTCTTCTCCTTGGTGATGGCCAGCACCAGCGAGCACGGAATCAGTATCTGGAAGCGTGGACCAGTATATGGTGACGCGCGAACAGTATCTGGCGGCGCGAGCCAGTATCTGGTGACACGGGAATATTATTTGGCGGCGCGGGCCAGTATCTGGTGACGCGCGAACAGTATCTGGCGGCTCGGGCCAGTATCTGGTGATACGGGAATATTATTTGGCGGCGCGGGCCAGTATCTGGTGACGTGGAAGCAGAATCTGGCGGCGCGAGCCAGTATCTGCTGACACGGGAGCAGTATCTGGCGGCGCGGGCCAGTATCGTGACGCGAAAGCGGTATCTGGCGGCACTGGTTATAATCTGGTAGCACGGGGCAGTATCTGGTGGCGCGAGCCATTATCTGGTGACACGGGAGCAGTATCTGGCGGCGCGCGCCAGTATCTGGTGACGCGGGAGCAGTATTTATCGGTGACATTTGGCAGCACGAAATCCGCACCTTGCAGTACGGTGTCGGTATTTGGTGAAGGTCACTGGGAAGGTAAGATTTTAAAATTGATATTACGAGCAACACCACGAGATGCATGCTGCACGGTTGTCAAGTTGTGAACTACTGCGTCTCTGTCCTGTGCTTTTGGCTGCGCGAGTACAAGAATCTGAGCGTCGAACGGTAACAAAGCTTTATGACATGATACTACGAAGTGGCACATATTCATAACATTCATGGGGTGCAAAGCCATCTGGGTATTATTTCATTACCTGGGACTGAACCGACTATCCTGTTTTGTATTGAACCATCGTAAGCCACAAGGTTGATGCGTATGACAATCAAAACAATGGAGAATGGACGCTTATTTCACGCGTGTTTACGTGCATTCACCATTATGAGGGATCGATAACCATTACTTATGACCTCGGTAGCATTTATTCACGCATATTTTAGGACGCAATACGGCAGGGACATCCAACGTCCAATTACTGCACTGGGCTAATCCAATATCGGTCTCCGCTAAGTGTTTTCACGACAGAAAACCGTGGCAGGGGGACCCCAACTGCCCGCATGTCATGATAATTCAGTTTGTCATCAATATAGTGGCAACCTGCCTTGTTCTGCGCCATGATGGCGTGGCCTAAGAAGATGAAAAGAGGGTGGAAAAGGTGAAAGGCGAACAAGTGACTGGCGGGGTACAAACGACGACGCTGTGACTTACCCTGGTAACGTGCCCGAAGAGGTTGGAGTAGAAGGCGAAGTGATGACTGGTGACGTAGAGCCGGCCCTGCAGCAGAATGTCGCTCACCAGCGCACATGAGAACGCTGAAACACCAGTGGTGACCACGCCCTCAGGCACCATTCCCACTGCTCACCACACGGCCGAAAGCTGACAGACACGAATAAAAACGATTGATATAGCACGTTGCCTTGTTCGGAGCGCGGCGATGCTGTTTTGAAAGATCATCGATCGTGAAAACTGCAACATGGTGAAAATGCCGGCATCCGAATACATCATCACCAAACTTTTTCCCTTGCAAGCTGGACCGTGAACGTCCAATTTCAGCTGTATTGCGTGCAAGCTGCGCTTTTGGACAAACGTGCTGCCCCATCAGTATTGTGCTTAACGTCATAAACTCCCATTTCGCGGAACTTAGAATGCTACTACCTCGCGCACCAGCGGTGTTCTGAGCATTCCAATCTCGTGTCTTCTCTAGCTTCCATTTCATGGCAGCCTTCAGTCCCTATCTCGCAGTTATTCCTAGCCCCGTCTCGCGGCCTAGTCCAGCCACGTTTCACACGGTCTTTACGCCCTCCTCCCTCCCCCCCCTACCCCACCGCCAACCACCTTCCCACGCCCCCCCCCCCCCCCCCCAGCGGCCCGGCTCTGCCCGGCCCCACTCACATTTAAACGATCTTCTCGTGGGCGTCCAGGTCCTTAAAAACGCCGCAGGAACTTGCGCTGCGAACGTGACACTTCGAACGACGGCTGCGAGTCCAGCCGGTTCATCATGGGGGTGCTGCGGCTGAGGCTGCGCAGCGCGTGTCTGGAACACGGCGCGGCGTCCGTGAGGAAATGGCCAGGGCGAGGCGCCGCGAAGCAGCACAGGAAGGTCTGCAGCACGGCGCGGCGCGGCCGAGTGTATGGCGAGAGCGAGGGCGCGAGGCACCGCGAGGCAGAGCAGGAGACGGGGGACCAATTCAGACGCGCTTCGCGGTCCAGCAAACTGTTGAACTGACTCGAGTATAAATGTCACGTAATGTTTCCATCTACAAAAGCCATTGCCGCCGGCCATTACGGCTCGCTCGAGGAAAGAGTTAATGTGTTGACGGCGCTTGGGCTCCAGCAGCAGCGTCGTGCCGTCGTCGCCTGGAAGAGCTCAGGGCGTGTCCTCATGGCGGGGCGGCCGCCGTCGAGCCGATGGTGAGGGCCGATGTGATGTGATGGCGTCGTGTGACGTGATGAAGACATGTGATGTGATGACGAGATGCAATGTGACAACGTTATGTGATGACGAGACGGAATGCGATAACGTGGTGCGATCCGATGACTTATGTGATGTACTAATGCGATGTGATGTGATGATGTGTTTGATGCAATGATGCGACGGCGTGTCTGACATGATGATGTAATGCGATGTGGTGACGCCATGTGGCATGTGACGTGATGATGAGTGACAGGCGTGTGTAATGTGATGACGGGATGTAATGCCAAGACCGACTTTGAATCCGATAACGGAGTGTGATATGATGACGGGATGTGATGTGATGACGGGATGTGACATGATGACCGGATGGGACGCGATGGCGGGACGTGATGCGATGGGTAGGATGAGTGATTCGGCAGGTGTAACGCGGTTCACGCCACCGGCTCCGCGATGTCACAGGGTCACGCGCAGGCGACGCCACTACGTGAGGGGCAGTGAACACTACCGAACCGGTACGTGACAGCCGCGGATGTGGGTCAACGGCACGCGGAGAGCCATCGCCCCGGCGTGGCCCTCACCGAGAACGAGTCGCGTCGGACATGTGACGTGATCGTGACGTGCTCATGTCACACACGTCGTCCCAGAGGGGAGCTGGGCGGGACGATCGGGTGGGGTTCGTTATCCTCGATGGGCTTTATCGGTCATGATGAAGCTTGAGACGGGACGGATGGGCTAGAAGGCGCCTCGAATCTTACATGCTGGTTTTTAGTCGCGTGACGCGGCTGGGCTGCTGTTGGGATAGCCGTTGGAGGCTGAAAATATCGCAATAGCTTTGAAGGAGGGGATTTTCCCAGCCTTTCCAAACGATACCCCAGTACCATCGATCCCGCGTGCCCGAAACGGCGAGCGAATACCTTCATTCGCATCATTTACTGCTTGAGAGCGTCCATTCAGAGCACAGAAAACATCCAAAACCTTGCTAAGCGCGCCTACCTAAGCACGCCATTGGAAACACACACAACGGTCTCCATGCCTTCTCAGCTGCTGAGTGGGACGCGTGTGCATCACGGACGACCGCAGCGCAGCGGGTTCATCGACCACGACGGGAAGATCTCTGTGCGGCCCGGTCGGGTCTACTCCCAGGCCCGGTCGGGTCTACTCCCTGGCCCGGTCGGGTCTTCTCCCAGGCCCGGTCGGGTCTACTCCCATACCCGGTCGGGTCTACTCCCAGGCCCGGTCGAGCCTACTCCCGGGCCCGGTCGGGTCTACTCCCAGGTCCGGTCGGGTCTACTCCCTGGCCCGGTCGGGTCTACTCCCAGGTCCGGTCGGGTCTACTCCCAGGCCCGGTCGGGTCTACTCCCAGGCCCGGTCGGGCCTACTCCCGGGCCCGGTCGGGTCTACTCCCAGGTCCGGTCGAGTCTTCTCCTAGGCCCGGTCGGGCCTACTCCCGTCCAGCAGTGCCCGCTCCGCAAAGGCGGTCGGCGCGCCTCCACGGGGACCGCAGCGCGTGTGGGCGGCGACGACTGAGAGAGACGCATCTGCCTGAACGGGACCTCCATGAACATGGCCTCCAGACTTGTCCGAGCAGGACCTCCAGAACAGGACCTTCAGACCTGTCCGAGCGGGACCTCCAGAACAGGACATTCAGATCTGTCCGAACAGGACCTCCAGAACAGGACCCTCAGATTTGCCTGAACAGGACCGCCAGAAGCAGGACCTCCAGACCTGTCCGAACAGGATCTCCAGAACAGAACCTTCAGACCTGACCGAACAGGACCTCCAGAAAAGGACCTTCAGATCTGCCTGAACAGGACCGCCAGAACAGGACCTCCAGACCTGTCCGAACGGGACCTCCAGAACAGGATCTCCAGAACAGGACCTCCAGACCTGTCCGAACAGGACCTGTCCGAACAGGACCTCCAGCTGTGGAGCCGCGCAGTCTGCGCGGCTCAGACCGGGGCTCAGGGCTGACTGCGGTCTCAGGAGGGCTCGACACAGCCCACGCTTGAAGCAGCTCAGCAGATGCCCTTCCGGCAGGCCGCAGCTGCAGGCCGCGGCAAGTGGGCGGCTCGCGATCGACCTCAGCCGTCTGCCTCCCACGCGGCATGCGACGTTGATCGGCTTCCTCTGCGGCCGAACAGGCGTTCGCTGGGCGTCGGCCCTGTAATCCACTGTAACGGGCCCCGGTGCCGCGCGAGCCTCCCAGCCGCGTCATTCGTAAGCTTCGATCGAAGTGACCCACTTCACTTCTATTTGTGCTCCACAGCCCATACGCAAACTACTTTCCAGCGCGGTGCGCGCTATCGGATTTTGATTCATCGACCGTCCACTTTGCAACACGACGGAGCCACCCCGATGAAGTCTGCCAACGGCACCCCACAACGCGGATGACCCTGGCATGACCGTGCACCCTTCAGGAGCAGCACCGGACCTCCGCCTGACCACCAAAGACTGGAAGCCCACGGACGCCGCTGGGTGCTGCCATTTACCCGAGCTGGTCCACGGAACTGTGACAGAAGGTCGGGCAAGCTTCCTACACGCCCACTAGGCACATCACGGAGCGTGAGGTGGTCCTCACGGCTTCCGCCAGCCGCGAACGCACCCGGAAGCGGCTATTGCAATCGAGGTATATACATATACATGTGTACACACACACACACATACATATATATATATATATATATATATATATATATATATATCGCTCACTGTCGCTCACTGTCACGTACCATTGTCTATGTACTTTAACATTGCTTTTTAAGCCGATGGCTATCATTGTCTTTGACGTGAGCTGCAATAGCACATTGGGCAATGCTCTTCATCAGTGATTCATTCTTTGTCACGCGTGGCATAATCCGTCGGTTCTCATCGAACAGGAAAGAAGCTCTCGCACAACACATCGTTGCAACTGAAAGACCGCGACAAAAATAGCCCTAGCTTCCTTGTCGGGGCCATTGACAGAACGGCACGTGCATTGAGAAACGTGAAAGACGGGCATTCAGAGGCGTTACTGCTAGGCGGGTGAGACTCAGACATCACAGTCTGATGGCACCGAATCCCTCAGGCCTCAAAGGCTGCCAGCTCCGGATGGATCCTGTCTGCTTTGTCTTTTATGAGCTTCCTGACATCAGGGATGGGGCACTCAAAGAGTCAGAGATGCTATCAGCATGTGTTGTGAGACTGACTGTACCATACCAGGAATAATGTCAATCACAAGTCACACCGAGCGCGCGAGTGGCAGGCACTGTACATGCGCAATCTTTAACGGACTGGCTCGGCAGACTGGACACAAACCGAAGAAAAAAAAACTCACACAAACGCTCATTAAAAGATGCCTGGTAAAAACTACACCGCGCCAGTGACGGCTAAAAACTACTCCTAACCGCTTGGCGACTATACCGGAAATGGGGCGAACCAAGTCTAGAATGATGCTCTGGTGCAAGGCTCGAACGAAGGCGTGCCCAGCAGCACGCACTCTGTAGAGATGGCGTGCCAAGCAGTACATGCTCTCGCGAGTGCAAGCTAAGAACCACGACCCATTCTCCGCTGCAGCTGACACCCTGCTCGGGACACTCCCACCCCTTCCATGGCATGGTTGGTACTCCACAGTGGCCTGGTATGGCCTGTCCCGCTCCACCGCCGTATCGTCGGGCCTGTCCCGCTCCATCGCCGTCTCGTCGGGCCTGCCCCGCTCCACTGCCGTCTCGTCGGGCCTGTCCCGCTCCCCCGCCGTCTCGTCGGGCCTGTCTCGCTCCGCTGTGGCCTCGTCGGGCCTGTCCCGCTCCGCTGCGGCCCCGTCGGGCCTGTCTCGCTCCGCTGTGGCCTCGTCGGGCCTGTCCAGCTCCGCTGCGGCCTCGTCGGGCCTGTATCGCTCCGCTGCGGCCTCGTCGGGCCTGTCCCGCTCCACCGCCGTCTCGTCGGGCCTGTCCCGCTCCACCGCCGTCTCGTCGGGCCTGTCCCGCTCCACCGCAGTCACGTCGGGCCTGTACCGCTCCGCTGTGGCCTCGTCGGGCCTGTCCAGCTCCGCTGTGGCCTCGTCGGCCTGTCCCGCTCCGCTGCGGTCCCGTCGGGCCTGTCTCGCTCCGCTGTGGCCTCGTCGGGCCTGTCCCGTTCCGCTGCGGCCTCGTCGGGCCTGTATCGCTCCACTGCCGTCTCGTCGGGCCTGCCTCGCTCCGCGGCGCCCTCGTCGGGCCTGTCCCGCTCCACCGCCGTCTCGTCGGGCCTGCCCCGCTCCGCGGCGCGCTCGTCGGGCCTGTCCCGCTCCACCGCCGTCCCGCCGGGCCTGCCCCGCTCCGCGGCGCCCTTGTCGGGCCTGTCCCGCTCCACCACCGCCTGGTCGGGCCTGTCCCGCTTCACTGCCGTGCCGCAAGGCTCGCAGTGCCGTTTCCTCGCGCCCGGGACCCGGGACCTCCGGGACCACCAGGGAGGACCCGGGGCCGCGGTGCTCCGCTCGCCCACCGGATCGGTCCGGAAGCTGCACCTCTGACGCCGGGCCGGAACCGGACTGCGGCCGGCGAGGTGGGGCTCCGAACCGTTGTACCCCGCCCCGCCCTGCCCCGCCTCGGGCCACAGCCTCGCCGTCGCCAACGCCGGGTCGCCGCCGGCAGTGTCTGGATCGT